AGATATTTACTCTCTATGTGTAAATATATATATATAAATATACTCTAAACTATTATTTTGTTTTTGTGTATGTTCTGGTAAGTTCAATCATCTATGGCTTTCCTATATGTTTCCATAGACTCAAACGCTTAGATATCCTCACTAGACTAAGCCCACCTGACCATCTTAGTCACTACGAAGCTCAATGATGTTGATCCCTATGGATTTTCTGTATTGTAGAATAAACAAATTATTGGATTAATGCTAATAAAGACACCTTCATCATGATATTCTCTGGATGAAGGGGGAGGGGGGTTGAATAAACAGAGAATTCAGAAAGACCTTCTAGGAGACATATCAGAAACAGGTGTTCACTCAAAACTGCATGTATCTTTTGATTATGCTTTATGTTATTTAAAAATGTTAAGTACATGTGTATCTTTCATATTTCTTCATATTACAGGAGCAAATTTCAATATTTTATAAGCACGATGTACCAATAATATAGTTTTTAAAAGCCGAGACTGGTCAATGTTTAATCGGTTTCTAATGCTCAACATAATACATCCTAATTTCATCTATAATAGAAGGTCCTTGGTTCCCTAATACTTTTGTATATATACACAAGACTTTGCAGGCACATGAATGTTAATAGATATACATATAATATGGAAGCCTGTAGGATCAGCATGCTGATTGAAATATGCCAATATAAAGCATAAATATAGAATCATAAGTGATATTGGCTTATTACATTAAATGATAAGTGCACTCATATAAAAGTTCATTTTTTATGCCTCCACTCTCCCGCCCATCTCCTTTTCAGCACTAAAAATGTATCTCAGCCCAGGATCTCAGACCTCATTAAAATGCAGCTCTTGAAACATGCGATGAAGAGAAAAGGATAAAATTATATAACAAGATGCTTCCTTTAATGAACCGAAGGTAAGCTCTCAGAACACCACATTTAGCCATTTTGTAGGGTTGCACAGAAACCAAATACAGTACTCGGTACAAGTACGAGTACATGTACCGATACTTTTGAGCTCCAAGACTAGACTAGAGAAAAATTCAGAAGTTAGGAGGCCGCTGTCATTTGTAAGGAGCACACGGAGCTCCCGGGATTTGTACATCTCTGTTTTAAAGTACGATTTTGTTTTTATAAATATAAATAAAGGGATGCACCAATACCAGTTTTGCGAGTACGAGTATTGGTACTTGCCGAGTACTTACAAGTACAAGTACTGATACATTTTTGTTTATTGTCATGTGACAGTTTATCTAAAACAATACAGACTAATGATTCCAGGACAGTGGTGGAGTGCCAGAGCCAGGTCCCAGCTGCAACCGCTGCAACCCTGACAGTTCTCATGATAATGCCAAGTATCTGCACTGGTACTCGAAAAGTATCTCTGCATCCCTACCATTTTGTATTTAATATTTTAGTCTACAATAGAGCATACTGTAAATTCCTTTGTCTGTATAATGCTGAGTATAAAATAGCAAAGAAATTGTTACAAATATTACCATCTGCTTTCTTGGAAACTCACACTAAGGTACTGGATATTACAGGAGCATGGCCTACCCAAGGTCATGTTACTGTTTTCCTTAAAAAAATAAACATAAACCAAAATACTTATATACTAAAAATGCACTGTGCTCTAACAATGTGTAACCCCCTATTAAATAAATATACATAATATATATTTTTATGTATATTTATTGCATTTTATAATATATTTGTTATCACTTCTTTGATAATTAGCACAGCTACTAAGTCCTTAATAGTTAAGAGCACAGGACATGGCACATTGGTATATAAAACAAAATACTTGTCACTGTGTTGTGCTTTACAAATGTTCTTTTTGCTTTGATTGCTGTAGGACACTAAAGCAAAGGAAGCTCTATTAATTTTATGTGGTGAAAAAGTGGTAAAGGGGTTTATATGACAGAGATTCTTGTCCCATCACAGGCATTTAACGTGAGATCAGCACTGAATTCCACCAGCAGAGTTTGAGCTCACTGCTCAAGTGATGATGCATGGCCACTTTGCTTTAGGTAAGTGATACAATAACTTAGTAGTGCCCAACTTAAAAGGGACCAAGGGCCACATTTGTATCCACAAGGTTAAGTGGAGGGCAGTATCTAAATAAATAAAATGTTTCCCAAAATATTAGTAGTGGCCATACGTATAGTAGTAAAACCAGAAAAGTACATGCATATAACAGGGGTAACCCCATTCCAGAAGGCTCCAACATCAGGGGCCCCAACATTCACCTGCATACTGACACTGTATCCACCTTTAACAATAATGGACCCATTTCACATGTGACAGCAATAATGCCCCCTTCATTGCTGTCAGCAAAAATATCCACACCCCTTCACTGGTATTCAGTGATTACTATACCTAAACATATACTCACACACTATCCCTGTCAGGCAGAGATCACTCCACCCCAAGGGCAGTTCTGGATGCTGGAGTTCAGAGAGTGATCAAGCCCTCAGCACCCTGCTGCCACTCTGCATTTCAAGTTTCATACAGGGCTGTTTAACTCCCGGGCCATAAAAGAAGGCCCTGTGGGCTGCATTCAGTCTGAGGGCCTACAATTGGACAGATCTGCTATAAGTAGCACTTTACATCACTTTTGACTAGTTCACTCAAATAACAGGGTGCCCTCTGCCAAATCACCAGGAGGGTGGATTTTCCTTTACTTATTGGATTTTTTTACTTATCTTTACCATTTAGCAATCTTTTAGGCATAGTCGCAGCAACATTGCAAAAGTAACGCTCAGCACAGCAAGGAAAAATAATGGTAATAATAAGTTATATTTAGACTGCATTTCCTTGTTTCCAAAGCTGTAAATGTAGACACCCTGGGATTTATTTACTAAAAGCAAACTGGCTGTTCACTTGGGATGGAATTTTAGCTTTGCACTAAAATGCCTCCACGGTAAAAAAACAGTACATTCTTTACGAAAATAACACCTAAAATCAATGTTTGCTTTACCTCCTGTCTCCAGTTCATGTATACCAGCTGCACAGAACCAAATTACTTAAAACAAAAAATTTGCTATCCAAAAAATTAGACAAAGTACAGCAAAAGAAAAAAAAAACAATAGTCAATAATGATAGGGTATAACACAATGCTAAGTAAAGTAAAGCATGTAAATATGTGTGAAATGAAAATCCTAACAATAAACTGGCAATTATTAAAACAAAAGTAAATGTACAAATATCTGTAATCACGTCTCACCTGAACAGATTCATTTAGCCAACTTGAGTCTGAAATATTTCTGGGGTCCAAGCCTGTTTCATTTAATTGGGGGATATATTTAGGGTCTACAAGACTAAAATCCAGATTTGTTGTTGGTAGAAAGCATGCTGGATTACAAGGGCCTGGTGGTTCTTGTGGAGCCATCCTCACCTCCATGTATTTTAAAGTCCCATCTGTGTTCAGGTAAAGTGTAGGCTTATACTGATCCAGATAAGATATAGAAAGTGGTTTGTTTGAGAAACAAGATCCACAACTACTGTCATAATTCTTTTTAAGGCATCTAACAAGTAATATTGTAAACGTAACAAGAAAGACTAAACTTATTGCTGCTAAAGAAATGATAAGATACAAAGTCATATCTGATGTTGACTCAGAGTTTCTAAGAAAATCATGTGATTTGGGGCTTTCCTGAGCAATATTCTCCATTATATTTACAATTAGAGTGACTGTAGAGGTCAGTAAAGGCTCCCCATGGTCACTGACTGAAATGACAAGTCGATGTTCTGTGTTATCCATCTCCTGTAATCCTCGCACAGTTCTGACTTCTCCTGTATATTCAGAGATGTGAAACAAAGCTGGACTGCCAGACTGAACAAGACTATAGATGAGCCAGGCATTGTGCCCAGAATCCAGGTCCACCGCAGATACTTTACTGACTAAATAACCAGCAGATGCAGATCTGGGAATGGTCTCTTGTGCAATGACTTCCACTGAGTTCTCTGGGTATAATATAGAGGGATAATTGTCATTTGTATCCTGAATAAATATGAAGACTGAAACATTAGAAAACAGCTTTGGGAATCCAGAATCTTCCACTCTCACTGTGATCTGTAGAACTTGGAACTGTTCATAATCAAAGGAGCGCTGGGCATATATAGTACCAGTGTCAGAGTTCATGTAGACAAACGAAGAGACAGGAGAGCTGTCTATGTGGTTCTCTGCTATTGTGTAAATGAGCTTTGCATTATCTCCCTCATCTGGATCTCCAGCAGATACTGTACACAACAGTCTGCCAGGCTCATTGTTTTCTGATACGAAGGCATTGTAAGCAGACTGTAGAAATGCTGGAGGATTATCATTAACATCAGAAATATTAATGATGATTGTAGCCTGGCTGCTTAAAGATGGAGAGCCCAGATCAGAAGCAATCAGTGGAACAGTATATTGTGAGACTTTCTCCCTGTCTAGCTGTCCACGAGTGACTAATGTGTAACGGTTTGACATGGGCTGGCATTTAAAGGGTAAATCTGGTGGAATTTCTAGTTTGGTTTCCCCATTTTTACCAGAATCACTGTCTCTGACTGTGATAAACCCAACAACAGTCCCTACTGGGGCATTTTCAGGCACTTCATTGCTTTGTGAGGTGAAAATAATTTCCGGGACATTATCATTTACATCTTCTATTTCAACCTGAATGCGGCAGCGTCCCTCATGTTTTGGTGTACCTTTATCTGTTGCTTTGACAAATAATTCATAAATATTTGATATTTCAAAATCTAAAGGTCCCTTAATGAACAGTTCACCAGTGACTGGGTTTATATCAAATAGTTCCTTTCCTAAATAAGATGTACGTTGATCAAAGGAATATGTGAATTCACTATTTACACCTTCATCAGCATCAGTAGCATTCAATTTCATTATAACAGTTTTTAAAGGAATATTTTCCCTTACATTGATTTTGTACCGTGATTGATCAAATATTGGTGGGTTATCATTAATATCTAAAACTGCAATGGTTATCTGAGTGGATCCTGATCGAGAAGGTTCCCCTCCATCAATGGCAGTAAGAACAAGCTTGTGCTCTGATTTTTCTTCCCTGTCTAGGATTTTATCCAGTACTAATTCTGTAATGAGTCTGTCATCATCCTTTGTTACAGATAAAGAAAAATATGGATTTGGGTTTATTTTGTACTGAGTAATGCTATTAATTCCTACATCCAGATCCTGGGCATTCTCTAAAGGAAACAGTACCCCAGGAATTGTAACCAGCTCTGTAATTTTTATAACTTGATGGGAGTTTGCAAAAAATGGTGAATTATCATTGATATCCAGAATCTCAATATCCAGGCTGAAAAGCTCCACAGGATCCTCAGCTACAACCTCTAAATGCAGCAAGCAGCTGGCACTGGATCCACACAGACTCTCTCTATCAATCCTTTCATAAACAGTCAAAGCTCCATTTCTCTGATCAATTGCAAAAAGCTTACTGCTATCTTCAGATCTCAAATGCAGCTTTCGTCTATTAATATCTACCAGTTTTAAGCCCAGACCCTGAGCTAAATTCCCCACAAAAGTCCCTGAATCTGACTCCTCCGCAACAGAATAACGTAGCTGCCCAGAGACCCAGCCCCAGCTACAAAGGAGAAAGGAAAATGCTACTTGCCATTTCCAAGCTTTGGGAAAGCTAAGGTAGTCCATATCTTAAATCCTTACTGGGAGACCGCATAAAAAGCATATCATTTTATAATCCACATATGTCTGCAGTGTAAATTTGTATCCTTTTGGTGTAAAATCCCTCTTTTGTTGCAGTGAAAGCATCCAGAGGGTTCTCGTCAGTGGAGTAGCTCTTCTTTGTGTGTGAGGAGGAAGATGGGAGGGTGAATCACTGAGCCAGGGGGAGGAGAGTGCCTTGTAGAGAAAATCAGATCTCTGAACAGCTTAGAAATCTGAATGGATGACATGTCTGCCCTCTTCTGGTCAATTTTTTTAACTTCAGGTTCCATTTAAGGGAAAGCTGAATCCTTGCTATGATCATAGAAATTCTACCATTTATTTAAACACAATTATTAATGCTGCCAATAACTGCTAACAACTGAGTAGATTTAGCTTAGAAATGATAATATAGTGGTATTTAGAGAAGACATATATTAATTATCTTTAACTATAGTATATTTAGAAATATGCTGTATAATTGAAAAATGTAATAGTCACATAATACAGTAAGTCCTAACACTATGATATGTTGTGTGCTGTAATGTTTCATATACAATAGCATTATCCAATTAAAATGTGACCATACATACATTTTCCTGCCTTTCTAAAGTGTAAGTCTGCTATCTAACCAAGGATATAATCATTAAAACTAGGGATGCAGCGATACCGGTACTAGATACTAGGTACTTGTACTCCCCCAAATGCTCTGATACCTACGGTATCAGGAAGCCACCTACACGCTTCCCTATTAGCCGGGAAGCTGGCTCCATGTGACGAGGGAGCATGGAGCCGGCTTCCCGACCAATCAGGAAGCCGGGCAGCGTGTAATGACTCGCTGCCCTGCTTCCTGATTGGTCAGGAAGCTGGCCAATGAGGAAGCCAGGCAGTGAGTCATTACCCACCCCCTGGCTTCCTGACCAGAAAGCAGGCTCCATTCTTCCTCGTCACCTGGTCACCAATCTACAAGGATTGAAAGCTACATATTCAGGATGAATACACATGTCCTTTACATAGGCAATGACTTTCTTTGTTAATACTGATCTACATATACCCTTTATAATTTCTTAGAACAATCACTCTCAAAAGTGTTTACCTTATTTTAATTCTAATAAGTTTTGTTAGCCCCATTAATTATACATCAGGCTAGATTAAATAAGGCCCTGGGTTGCTAGTTAGTCTAGGTCAGTCTAAGTAATCCAGAAGAGGCACCTGTAACTTAAAGACCACTACACTTTCACCTATGAATATTGGACTATTTTGATGTGACTTCTGACCTTACAATCCCCACCCCATGTAGATATTTGTATAGAGACCACTCAATTAAAGGTAATGCATTATGTTAGATGTCCCCAAAGGTTTCATTTCCCCACTGCTGTGTATGTTTTGGTGTTGAGCTATCAGAATGGGAGTTAATTTAGAACATGCCTCATTGTTCTCTTACGGTGAAATCTCAGAGCAACACAGAAGTGTATGCATATTACTGCACAATGTATATTATACCACACACAGACACAACCCCTGGACACATTCCTGCATGCTTTACATCTTTAATTTTTCTATATGTACAAATTCTAGTACTCCTACAAGCAATGGGGGGATTTATCAAAACTGGAGCAGACAGAATCTAGAGCAGTTGCTCACAGTCATCAATCAGCTTCATTCATCAATTTATTAAGTTAAACTTTGAAAATGATGCTAGAAACTGAATGGTTGCCATAGACAGCTGCTCCACATTCTGTCTGATCCAGATTTGATAAGTTCCTTTCAACACATAAAATCTTTGTACCCTTGCTGGCTGCTTTACATTTTTTACTGTTCTATAAGTGCAAAGTCTAGAAATCACATAAGCACTTCTGCCTGGGTTCATGAACAGTTTCTTGAATCCAAGTTTAAATGTACACACTTTGCACCCAATCCCAATGAAGTCTATGTGGGGGCAAACCTTGCTATTTGATTCTGGCTATTTGTAGGGATAATATGAAATATACTGTGAAACAAAAGGCATGGGAAGCTAGATACTGCAATGGGGGATATATAGTAATAAATAAATAACAAATAAGTAAATACAAACTGTCCATTCTACTTAACAACTACAACACACCCTGAAAATAATAGCTGCTTTGAGCCTGCCCTTTTTTACAAAAGGGGCTGAGTTCACCATTCCTTCAGATTGTTGAAAACATGGTATCAGCTGACCAGGGAAAAGGCTAGGCACTGCATTGTAGGTTGTTTCTTATATCTGGTGGTGAACCTTGGATTTTCTGGCCAAAAGTTCACTATTTGTGAACTTAGCAAATCCTGGGGCTATCTAGAAATAACACATACAATCATTGTACCATTGCTGAATGCTTTAGAGCTTTCAATGTTCTATATCTACAAAGTCTAGAAATCACACACAATCATATGCCATTGCTGGGTGCTTTACTGGCTGTGAGGTTAACAGGTAGTGGTGCATGCTGGGGGAGGAAATAAATACTCGGGTGGACCATGTGAGCTCTCTCTTTCTCTCCTGGTCCCTACCTGTGGGGAGGCTGCTATGGACTGTCTGAGATGGCTAGGCCTGAAGCCTGGGGACAAGCCATGTGCTTACACTGAGGCCTGAGTCTGGAGGCCCAGTGGTTACTACTGATGACAAAGATGAATTTGACTGGTGACTTCTACCTCATGTACTGCTGTGTCAGGTGTTCTTTATGCTGTAAATGGAAACAGATACCACACCCTGCTACCTAGAGGAGTCTACATCACCCTGGATGATCCTAACCCTCATTAATAAAGTTATCAGCATCATATCTACAGTCTGGACATCACTTTTATTGGTCACCTTATAGGGCGGCAAGTGCTAAATGGGTGAAGTGAATGAAAATATCCCTACACAAGAAGATTACTGAGCTGTGGTAACCCATAGCAACCAGCCCTAGGATCGAGGTATCTTGCGTCTCAAGGTCTGCTGGTGTTCTGTGTATTTATTTTTGAGGTCCATCACAGAGGAAACAGAGGGAGACCCATTGCTTTATTAGAGTATGCTGCTCCTTAGGGGGTACACTACACACTGGATAGATTATAATCTTGGATGCTAGAAATTTTTTGGAGGATTTCTGAAACCAGATAATTTTTGTTACTTTCTTGTCTTTCTTATAGCTGGACAAGAGTATCACAACACATGTATACCTCAAGTCTGTGTTTAAGAGTCTGTTTGACTTAGGGCATGGTTATAAAAAAAATCTTTAAAAAAGTTCTGTTAATTTACTGTTGTCTTCTGGCATCTTCTAACTGTGTTTTGTGCTGTCCCCTTTTGTAAGACAAAAGTAAACTTTTCTAATCTGCACATATATCCTGTAGAAATTTAGGCAATCGGTCATTCAAGTGAGCATGCATATAAGTGCCCAGTACATTTTGAAGTAAGTTCATACGCAGGTACATGGTTTTTAGTGTTTAAGTTGTTTTTGTTCTATGATGCATACAGAGCTTACATGATTGGCGTTCAAAAAAAGTTTTTTAACAAATTTGTGTAGAAGGAACACTACAGTAGTAGTGGTCATTGTGGAGGCAACTGCAAGAGTGAGAAGCTGTAAAGGTGACAGAAAGATCACTTAGTGCTTCAACTTTAGCACCAGCAACCACAGGTCTGAATGGAAATCAAAGATACTTCACAATGATGAAGAGCAATATACATGACAGAGAAAGTTCAAAAGTACCACTATAACCAAAACACCCATCCTTTCTGCAGTGATTGTTGTAGTAACGTGGATCTCTAAGATACGTTCTGTTGCTATTGTTATTTGCCCTAAGTGTGTTACGGTTGAAGGGCTGTGTGGAGCACCAGTCGTGGATGGAGTGATTCCAGCCGGTA